TTTTACCGCCAAAAATCCATAAGTTGACACTAGTGTCAACATTTGGATCACCCCTCGATTTGGGCTTCAATAGTTCACACTCCCCCTTAAAAAGTTTATGCCAGTTGTTTAAGAGATAAAACAATAATAAATATGTATTACAATGTATCTTATTATACAGTAAATATATATTATTCATAATTTATCAACCCTACCTTAGCTTTGAGAACTTTTGTTTTTATATCTTCTTAACTATTTTCACTAGAAATCTGGGAAAAAATTCAAACATTTGCACCTGTTCACTACTTCTTGCCACAATTTTGAAAAAACTTGTCATTTCAAATCCATACATCAGCCTGAAAGATGGCTCCAACAATACTATAAGCTATTTCAGTTAGCTTATAACCTATATAAATTCTTATTTTCGGGAATAATATGCTAATGTGTCAACTTTTGGGACCCTGTCAACAACTGGGTACTTTACCTTAATGCCGAAGATCTTAACCTTAACTTAATGTCAACCTCATAACTGATGCCAAGTAACCGAAACATGATGATTGCAACTTGCATGCACAATTACTCAGAGCTCTAGATTTTGGTACTGTTTATTTTGGCGGATACTGTATAACTTGAGATATAACCTGACAAACACCCGCGATCAAAATTTTAAAAATTTGGCAACATGTCGATTGAGGCCAACAGGCCCCTCGTAGTGAAATATTATCACCCCTTGGGGTCATTTTATATATTTTTTGTTTGTTTTTTAAATAATAGGCAAGTCGAAATCAACTTCCGGTATAACCGGATTCGCCGCAATCTTAGAAATATTTTACCCGGATGGCCTCCACATGGACATTGCAGAGTTGCCAAATTTTAAATATTTTCTAAAGTTGATTTTCTGAGAAATTAATAGCGGCAGTTCGTCTTACTCTTGAGACACCCTGTTTATATATAAAAGCATTTTATTTGTCTTTCCAAAAACCCTACAGACACAGGGTTTCTATGATGTTTGCTCAGATCAATACTTTTTCGTTGACTTTTTCCAGTTATTTGAGAAAACCGTCATAGTAGAGTGAATGGATTGATTTTTGAGGGATCAAAGTTCATGATGAGGTAACCCTTATTCCGGAGGTAATACAACATTAGACTGCGCAAAAGGGCACCATTTTCAAAAATCGAGATATTGATACCACCATATTGAGAAAAAAATACTTTATTATTGGTCCAATCCACAATAAGGTCATTGTAGGGAGTATTTTTTTATATTCATTAAAAAAAAATTACCATTAGCTCTTATGGCCGGAAAAAACTTTAAACGTAAATATCTCAGTTAAAAATCATCTTTTTTAAATATACCTTCCATTTAACGACAAAGGAAGGCTTAAATGGAAAAAAAAAATATTCTTTATAAAAGTTTCGCTTCTGTATTGTCCAGATAACAGTGCAAACCACATATTTTTTACTTCTAAATTAACAAAGATATAACAATAAACAATAAAAGATGTCAAGGGTTTCTGGGAGAGCAAAATCTGACTGAGTTTCTCGACTCGCTATGCATCACTCTCAGTGTTGATACGTACAGGATCTCTTTCACTCTGTTATATTATTTTGTATAGGGATTATTAATTTATCCGCTTGAAGGCGTAAATTGTTTCATAGGGTGTATGGTGTATTACTTTATAATAATTTGCCTTTGACTTTGAGGAAGAAAAATAAGATAAATAAATCATCGAGTAAATCATATCAAAATACATATACTTACACGGTGTTTCATGAACTTCGAAACAGAGGCGTTTTAGGGTATTTTGAGGTCGAATAAAAAAACGCAGACACATCAATTTTGTATTTGAGGGGGAAACTTTTCGACCTCATCGGGTAGGGTGACTTTCACCCCTCTTTCCTAGATAAGGAAGATGGGTCAAGTGGTACCTTGTTTTAAAGATTCTGATTCTCATCCACTGATCTAAAAAATAAATGGATAAACAATTCATACGGCTTGATTGGCAAAATTTGTGCGAAAATTTGGGGTCAATATTCTACGAACAGTTGTGCAACGGAACAGCCTAACGCCTGCGCAGTGTCTTATCTTTCGAACAACTGTTCTAAATTTTGAAATTTCTTCATTTTCATTGGCCAGATTTTGTGCACGCACAATACATGTATCTACTGCGCACGCTCACAGCTGTCCAAGTCAGTTGTTTTTGTTTAGATTTTGACCTCATAAATTAGCAGCATGTTCTTTGTTTATCCATTTATTTTTGAGATCAGTGTTCTCATCACAAGTACGTTTTTTTTTTTGAAAATCGAATGATTAGGTCTCAAGATATTCACTGTCAAAAATGCCATGGGCTAAATATGAAACAATTTTCTTGCCCTGTTATTCCCAAATTAACACTTTCCTCTTGGACACGTCAATTTTCTTTTTTTCAGAAGCACTTTTCAAATAATTTCAATTTGTTTCTATTCATCACATCGGCTTTTATGAAGGGTAATGTTCGCCCTTTTCATCAAGATAAGGAAGCTAGGTCCAGGTGGAATGGTACTTTGTTTTAAAGGTATTTTGATTCTTGTTAACACTGCATATGTGATTCTTTGTTTTGTATTGAGGGTGATTTTCATCCCCATTATTATGATAGAGAGTGTGGGCTGAGTAGCATCTTGTTTTGAAGATCTTTCAATTAACAGCATTTTCTAAATGTTTAACATTGAATGATTAATTTTTTTTTTGATTGAAACTGAGAAAAGTCTCGATTCAGTAAAAATTACTAGAAGAAGTGTAAATTTGAGAATACCAGGGCCAGAAACTTGTTTCTTATTTAGCCCATAGCAACTTTGACAGTGAATATCTTGAGATTTTCAAAAAAATACCCACTTGTGACGAGAATCAAAATACCTTCGAAACTAGGTACTAAACTTTGGTATCTACTACTCAACCCATCTTCGGCATCTTCCCTATCTGGAAAGGAGAGGTTTAAGTCACCCCACCCGATGAGGTCGAAGTTTTCCTCTTGCATACTAAATTGACTTGTCAGAGCGTTTTGTTTTAATCGACCTTAAAATACTTTAAAACGCCTCTGTTACGATGTTTGTGAAACACCCTGTAGGTATATGTATTTTAATAATATGATTAATTTATCTCATTATTTTTTATTTTCCTCAAAGGCAAATTATAAATAAGTGATACATCATACACCCTATGAAACATTCTTCGCCTTCAATTGAATAAATAAATAATCCCTGTACAAAATAATGAAACAGAGTCAAAGAGATTTCATATGCATCAACACTGAGAGAGATGCATAGCCAGCCGAGAAACTTGGCGGTCAGATCTTGCTTTCCCATAAACCTTTGACATCTCTTATTGTTTACTGTTATATCTTTGTCAATTTTGAAACGAAAAGTATGTGGTTTGTATTGTTATCTGGAAAATACAGAAGCGAAACTTTTATAACGAATTTTTTTTTTCCATTTAAGCCTCCGTTTTTCGTTAAATGAAAGGTATTTGAAAAAGATGATGACCGAAATATTTATGTTTAAAGTTTTTTTCGGCTATAAGAGCTAATGGTAATTTTTTTTTGATGATTATAGAAATATACTTCCTACAAAGACCTTATTTTGCATCTGACCAATAATAAACCACCTATTTTTTACTCTATATGGTGGTATCAATATCTCGGTTTTTGATGATAGTGCCCTTTTGCACACTCCAATTTTGTATTACCTCCGAAATAAGGGTTACCTTATCATGTACTTTCATCCTTGGAAAATTCAGCTTGTGACACCGAAGTGGGACGCAAAGTCAAAATAAGTCTTGATCTACACCATACTATCAGGCCCCTTATTCTTGAAACTGGGGAGCAGCATTCCCAGGAGAACGGGTGTTCCGTGTCTGTTACTTATATTATCATTTCCATTTCATCGGGAAAGACAGAACACTCGTTCTCCTGGGAACGCTGCTCCCCTGTTTCAAGAATAAGGACCAGAGGGTGTAGGTAAGTATGTATTTTATACCTATCATAAAAGCTTTGAAAATTGAAAATGTCAGACTGAGATTAATTTGAAAATAGCTAAACATACCTATATGCAAAAGTATAGGGCACCTGTATTTTTGTATTTTGGAATGTTGTTCTTCATATGATTTCACGATAAGATTTGTTTCCTGAAGTGGGAATAGTGGGAATAACACCCTAATTAATACCAGGAGAGCTATCTTTAAGTAATATCTGAAAAATTGTGAAAATGAAAATAGGTTAGAAAGAAATTAACTGCTGAACTGCTCTTCTCAAGTTAAATACTTCACTGACTCCGCTAAGGTATACTTAATAAAATAAAATAATCAACAAAATTATAATCACAGACATCAAAATATCATTATCAAATATCAAAGGAAAAATTATGTAGTCAGTTTATTGTTGTTTTATAATTGAAACCAATGCGAAATCTTGATACTAAGAAAAAATCTAGATAGACGCAGGAACAACTTCCAACCTTGAAACCTTTGTTACCTTGTAAATTCAAAACACAAGAACAACCGAGACAGAAACAGACAACAGATTGAAATATTAAGTCAGAGAAAGACAAAAGTTGGAATGAGACCAAGGGATAATCATGTGCGTATTTTGACTAGCGAATTTAAATCGATACTGCAATGCAATCCTTTTAAAACAACAAACAAGTAGATAGACAACAGACGAGTAGACTCCAGACTAGACAAGCTATTTTTATTTTCGTGACATTTTATAATAATATCTAATCAGTCTAGGCATGCCGAAAACAATAACCCAAAGTACCTATTTACTTTTCATTTGAAAATGGACCAAAATTAATTGATTGTGTTTTTAATTACCTAATTGTTTAATTGTAGGTATTTACTGAAATGACAAATTCTTGAATGAACCTAATGAAACAGAAAAATATGTAGGTCCTAGGTAATAAAAGTGAATCTTCGAGTGAATCAAACCATTAATTAAACAAACCGTATTTTATGATTGTAGAACAATTTTAATTCAATCAAAACATACCTTTACATTCAGGGTCTCTTTCTAAACATGAGGAACATAACATGTGGATTTCAGTATTTCCAAGACATTCAGGATTTTACTGCACTAGTAAACAAGTGAAAGGTAGAGTCCTAAATCACATTGGATTGAACACTTTTCACTGATTAGTCAATTGTTTGATCAAAAAATTGTCACTGTTTAAAATCAAAACAAAAGCACTGGGACAATCCCTGAGCCTAAAATAAAAACAAAAACACTTTCCGGTCGGGACAAAAACAAAAACCGAGCTCGAGCAAGCAACTCCCAGGAACGGAACAAATTCAAATGTTTTGTTTTGGCTTTGGCAGCCTTTTTACTACACACACAACACAACAACACAACAAGCTTGAGCACATGGTTGCCAGCGTTCGCGCATTCTTTACCTCCGGGTGTCTTTCATCGATAAAACCAAAACCGTGAACGAGACAAACGTATAGACTTAATTAAAATATCCATTCGAAATTTAAATATACACAGTTTGTGTACAACTTCAGTGATGATTTAACTAGAATCTACAACTGCAAAAAAACAAATTCATTATCGTGACGGCATGAATGAGAAAGTATTTGATCACATTTTAATGTCATGCGTATAAAAAATAAACAACGTGGGAGAGTCAGGAGCCCCGCGCGAGAAGACTCGTCACAGGCTAAAATATTTTCATTTTGTCTCAGCATCGTTGCCGTAGTGCGGAGAAAAATCAACATTATAAAATGTTTGCCAATAATTTATCATTGTTCCAGTCTAACTAATTTGAAATGTAATTATTTGAATTAGTTCTTGTTTGCCGCAATTCATAGAAATGTTTTATCAACTAGGAATCGAACTTGAGCTTTGATTACAGTAACATTATTCTTCACCTAATACTAATATATAAATACGCAAAATAAAATACTTAATTATATCACTTCTACCCTATTTAATACAACAGTTATCTCATAAAGCCTCTAGTCTGGGTCAAGATACACCGCACCTTCTCTTTTACGCCTATACGTCCACTGGTAATCATCCCATCTATCATTCTCCATCTCTCTATACCTACTGTACCAGCCCTGCAAGTCTGTGTAAATCCATATTTTCTTTAACACTAGGTAGTTGTTTTCACATTTCTGTTGCTTCCGGATGGGCCAAATTATTGATCAGACAACGGATATCGATTTCAACTTCTTGTAAACTTTCGAAAACATGTTGTCTTGTTTTTAGCTGAACATACCTGGTAGAGCTGCCGTTGTAGGTGGGTGCTGATTCTCATAACAACAAGCAGAAGAAATAAGTCTCTAATATCACCCATATCTGACCGTCGTTTCGACTTATATATTCCTATTTGTTAGAATAGAATTACACACCTACAACAGTTCCAAACTTCCTCACCAACAGGGCGCTTTCTTTTATTCAGCAGTGGATCCATCGGTGACCAGTCTATCATTGTCTAGTTCATAGAAAATCGGAATGGCTGTCTCATAATGCTGGCAGCAGATGGATCCATTGCTGAATAAAAGAAAGCGCCCACACACTCAATCCATCGCTAAACTTTAAAATTTTCCTGAAATCTGTTCTCTTGCCGAAACCTACTGTTCTTTCTTTTTTTTTTTTATCTTTTCTTGTCTACAGGATTTCAAGTTTCTGTGCTTATATTCACTATTCCTATATTTCCTATATCACTTGGTTTCCAGATAGCCAGATAAAACACCATGGAATGTTCTGGAACTCTCATTAGAAACCCCCGTTTGTGATAACTTGTTTTTCGGTGTCAAATACAGTAATAAGAATAAAATCACTATTCTTGTATCACTTGAGTTTAACTTGACTTCACAACAATTATTTAGCACTGACTTCCTACTACCTCAGGAAATCAATCAACAACAAGTTTGCTGATGATTGATGAACCAATATATAAATAAGAAAAAATGCTCAAAACTATAGTTTTGCTATTTTGAGATTTTTATAAATAGCCGATAAAATTTCATGTAAGGGAAGCTTTTGAGCGTAGCTGATAAAAAATGTAAGTACCTACTGTCCGAGAGTCCGAGGTATTGTCTTTTTTTGGTTCAACATGTGGCTTCTCAAGAATGGGCAGAGCTAGCTAGAGAGCAAGTAAATTAGAATATTAGCTTGTTTTTATAATTTTTCTACCATTTTTCCAATTTATAATAAAAAATACAGTGTATACAATTAAAATTGTGTATATAAATTGAGTTTACCTACTTTGGTAAATTTTACTATATCGTCATCTGAATTCTGACGGCTCAGTTTCATTCAGTACTAGTATCTCAATGTTCATTATTCAGTACTCACCTCATTCTATGGTACTCACAAAAAAGTGCTTAAAGCACCCAAGAAGTTTCCACTTTAGTTCAAAAAGTCAATAAAATGTAGGTTGAATAAACACACATCACAGATGTTTGACCATTGCCGCCATATTGAGCTTTTTTTTTGACAAGTCGTTGAATTGCCACAAGGATAATAACAGATAATACACCTGGATTGCTTATCGGCCTCGTTTTTGGGAATCGCGGCCATTTGACGTCGTCATCAACTACGTCGTCAACTGTTTGCGCCAGCGGTCATAGTTTAGAATATACATTTATGACGAAAAATCTTATTCAATTTTAATTAACGTAATAGACAGGAAGATTCTAACGAGATTTAAAAAAGCGTTTAGAAGTTAATTATGATCGTTTGCACCGACCATTTTAAAGAAGTCTTAGCGATAAGTATTCCTTAAGGGGACGTTTCTTTCTGTAAAAATGTCATTTTAAGGAAAACACCCCAAGGGCGGGTATTATAAAACTACTTTGAGAGTTAACTTAAAGTTAACTTCTAGAATTACATGTAATTCAAAAAGTTAACTTCAAGTTAACGGTCAAAGCAGTTTTATAATACCCACCCTAAAGTCAAGGCAATAAACGACACGCTGCCTACGTCACCACTGGTTTTTTTTTGACGTGTGGGGAGCTTGAGATTTGACCTACACAGTTCTTATGACGATAAGCTATCCAGTAGTGTGTTATCCTTAGGATTGTCATACGGCTGCGGGTGACGACACCACTATCAGCCTGATAGTAGTAAGTGGTAACATCATTTTACGTCAAGACTTGAGCCAATTTTAAGCGATTGACCAGTCGGTCATCTTGACAAATAAGCAATGCATTAACGTCAGTTAAGACCAACGACGCTTAATTAATGGTTTATCTCTCAAGATGACAGATCAGTCAATCCTGGTATTATTTCGATCCAAACTGATTGTGATCACATGAGGTTTGTTCATGAGGCGTCGAAAAAACAGCTAGGGTCAATGAAATCGTTGTAACAGCGGATGAAAATTGTTTGAAACAAACCTCAAGTGACTTCGATTAGTTTGTTCAGATTAAAAGAATACTTCTATTCGCTTAAAATTGGTTTTGAGATTTACTGCTGACGTCACATATTAAGGCAATCCAATCCCAAGGATGATACACACTGCTTTTACAGGATGGCTTATTCTCATAAGGCCTATGTGTAACAAATCTCCCCCTACCCCCCCTTCCAAAATATCAGTTGTGACGTAGACAGCATGTTATTTCTCGCCTTGACGTAGGCTGTTTAAACAGCTGACGACTTAGTTATGACGTCGGCAATGGTGGCACACCAATATGGCGGCCATTACCAAAAACGAAGCCGATAAGCACTCCTTAAGTGCGCGTTCACATTGACACCGCTCGAGCGGTGAGCGTTGCGCGATACCGCTGTAGCGATGCCCAAAAATAATTTTAACATTATATTTCAAATGAACATGTTAACACCGCGGGACGCGTCGCTCCAGTGTGAACATTTTCATTTGAAATATAATTTTAAAATTATTTTTGGGCATCACTACAGCGGCATCGCGCAACGCTCACCGCTCGAGCGGTGTCAATGTGAACGCGCACTTAGAGTGTGTATTCTCCTTGATCCAATCCATCTGTCAAACACAAAATTCAATATGGCGTGGCGGCCAAGCAAGTTCATTTTGAATATGTGTTTTTTATGCATATTTTAGTTATTTTGCTTTGAGTTTTGCTCGCAAGCTTGATTTTGATTATTTAATTAAATATTTGTTAACTATTATCCATTCACAATCCGATGTCCACAAGTACAGGTAAAATTTATCACCTTTAAATGCTATTTGATAGGGAAATGTTATAAGTTTTCCTGTACCTGTGGACATCGGATTTTGAATAGTGAATAGGATATAGGTACCTACCATGTACCTACGAGACCTATTAAGGGCGGGTATTATAAAACTGCTTTGACAGTTAACTTGAAGTTAACTTTTTGAATTACATGTAATTTCAGAAGTTAACTTTAAGTTAACTCTCAAAGTAGTTTTATAATACCCGCTCTTAGGGCGTTTTATAATACCCGCCCTTATAAAACTACTTTGAGAGTTAACTTAAAGTTAACTTCTAGAATTACATGTAATTCAAAAAGTTAACTTCAAGTTAACTGTCAAAGCAGTTTTATAATACCCGCAGGGCCGTGCATAGGGGGGTGCGGCCGGTACAAATTACCAGGGCCCGGGTTCCGTAGGGGCCCGGCCCGACATCTCGAAAGAAAAGTTTTGAGGGTGAAACTATTTTTTTTTTCAACTCACTTTCGCATACACCCACAGTGTTTCAGAAAAGCTGGTCATGGTCCAACTCCCTTTATTCGAATGGAATGCCCTATATTATTGAATATTAGGATTCTATGTAAAATTCTTATTACATTTCATGTGATATACCCTATCATCTGTTTTGAGTGTTTTGGAAATATTGACATCAGTTGAAAATTAACTTTTTTCTATGAGTATTGAATAATATGCGTATTATAAAATGGTAATATACATCCATTTTCTATTGATCAATGTGAATGATTAGTCATACAGTGAGTTTTTTTTTTCATTACTTAATTGTTTTGAACCAATGAAAATATCCTGGTCTCAGTACTCCACTATTTAAGAGCCAATCAGAAAATTCGACAAGTTGACAACATACTTCAACCTTCCAATCGGTCAGTTTGACAGCTGATTTGGACAAGACTTGTGCTAACCTTACCTCACTTTGGGCCGAATTTATAGTCGTTCCTTGAGTCTTCCTTGGAGGACATTATTTTAGAATGGACATTTGGCTACTATTTGACGAGTAAGTCATGTCAATTCCAAATGTTCAAGGCTCGCATGAGGTCTGAGGAAACCTCAAGGAGCGACTATAAATTCGACCCTGTATCCTCCAGCTGTCAGAATTGTCAATTAATTTTTATACGGAAATTAAATAAAAAATCGTATAACTCGTGCCTATTTTCTATTATTCATTAGAAAAAGTATTCTACTCGTAGGTAATGGCTATTACTCACTCGGATGATTACACTACTCGCCTGCGGCTCGTAGTGCAAACTTCATCCTACGTGAGTAATAGTCATCATTACCCGCTCGTTGAATAATATACTATTTTTGCAACTTTGACAGGTTGTAAAACCTAGACATTTAATTTAGGAGCAAAACCGTGAACCGTTACATTCATAAACCATCATTTAACACCAACTTTAAATTTAACCGGAGAATAAATTTAATTATAATTTTGAATCATGTAGGGCCGATATTTATGATCTTGATAACGAATTTGACACGTCATTGAATTTAACAAGGTTTTGCATGAGACAAGGTACAAGTAATCTGTACGATGTGGTAAGAGCACATTCAAACCCCTGATTATTTTTAACGTCTGTCAAATTCGAAAACTGAGAACAAAATTACCGGCACGTAATGTATCTCTCTCAATCAAGCGACAAGCGTACTCCGGTCGCTGCTGATGCGCGGGTTCATACGCTCCTTACGGCCCTCACGCGATCGGAATTTTTGTGAAGCAAAGAGGTTTCACTTCAAAAATACCTAAAAAAATTATACCCGAGGCATGTTTTTTTAACGACTTCTGGGTAAAAATTTGGGCATTCGTGACCACTCAAAAAAGTTTGGGGCCCCCTTTAAAGGGGGCCCGTTGGAATACCTGTACTGGGGCCTGCGCGTGCTTAGCACGGCCCTGAATACCCGCCCTAATACCCACCCTTAGGGCGGGTATTATAAAACTGCTTTGACAGTTAACTTGAAGTTAACTTTTTGAATTACATGTAATTCCAGAAGTTAACTTTAAGTTAACTCTCAAAGTAGTTTTATAATACCCGCCCTTAGTCGGGCAGAAACTAAATATTTTTTATGCTTATTTTTTAAGTGTTGTAAAATGCCGAACAAGTGTGGTTGTGGGATAGTGGGATATGGAAGCATTGATGGAAGCCTCCGAGAAAGGGAGGATGGCTCTATTCAAAGCGTTTTATCACAAAAATAAACGAGTGCTATTTTGCATCATGTCTTCAACCATCATAGTTTTATAATAGGAAAACCAATAAGTAAGTTAGGAGGATAAGATGTGGATAATCCTGACTGAGAGCCAAGTTCTTGCAACTATAGACTCCGCATAATGAAAATGTATTTTTGTATTGCACTTAACAGATTCACCCCTCACAAATATACCAGGGCCGGTTTCTCAATAGGTCTGTTTCTGCAGAAATCACAAACCAGTCAGAGCGAATTTCATTGGTTGAAAACAGTCAGAAAACTAGTTTCAACCAATGAAATTCACTCTGACTGGTTTGTGATTTCTACAGAAACAGACCTATTATAAGTCAACCCCGAGTTAAGCATTACTCCAGGGTTAACATTGCAGCTGGACACGCTTACCCTGGAGGTAAAACAAATCCGGAGGTGACTCGCCATTGAGAAACCGGCCCTTAAAGCACATAAAACTGTGAAACTCCGAACAAACAGCAGACAGCACACAACTAAAAAATGAAGTTTGTTCCATGTGTGGCCGTGGCCCATGTGTGGCCGCCACGCCATCTTGAATGTCGTGGTTTGGATCAAGGATGATACACACTACTACTGAAGGATAGCCTATCCTCATAAGGCCTGTGTGGAACAAATCCCCCTCCCCCCAAAGCCAAAAAACCAGTTGTGACGTGGCAGCATGTCCTTTCTCGGATGGACGTAGGCTGTTTGTACTACAGACAGGTTATGACTCCACGGACTTTTGCTATGCATACTTGGTTTTACTACATTAATTAATATTCTAAGACGAATCTTTTTTAGATTTCGTTTTCATCTTCCTCTTTGCCTATTATGTTAGTAAAAATTAGTAGGTACAGATTGTTTCACGAGGGTTCATACTTTTGACATCGATCACGTCATAACTTAAAAAAAAAGGGTTTTCGTAGATTAATTCATATGACACATTCAACTTTTTTGACAAATTGAAATGAATGAGTACATTCAGGCGGTTTAGGCGGCTTAGTTCAGTTCATTGGTTCAGCCACTCAGCAGGAACTATATTCTCGAAACAGGGGAGCAGCGTTGTCATTCGAACGAAAGTTCTGTCTTTGTCGTCCGGCATAACACTGACAATGACAAAGCAATTCTTTCTTATGAGAACGCTGTTCCTTGGTTTCGAGAATAAAGTCCCTGCTGAGTGGCTGAGCTTAGCCGCTGGGACTGCCTGAATGTACCCAATGACTTTTGGTTTAAGAACCGACGAACGTTTTTGACTTCATTGATTTGTTTCAATCAATTTCTATTTGTTAAAAAAGGAACGCAAAAAGTATGAACCCTCGTGAAACAAAGTTTAGTATATTTATGATTAAGCCTGCCATACGTCCCGTATTATACGGGACAGTCCCTTATTTCAAGATCCATGTCCCGCGTCCCCAAATTTGTTGTCGGGACGCGTAAATGTCCCGTATTCTCGATATTTCAAAAAGCGTAAAATAATTCGTCCGTTTCATTACCAGTCTCTGCGGTGGCATAAATAAATCGATTTTTGCGCCTCATTTCTAGTCTTAGCAAATCGCAACGTGGTGGTTATTCGTCAGCATTTGACATTTGACAGTTTAGAATTTGGCGAGTTTGGCCCAAGGACCATACACACCACTAAGGATTGCTTATCGGCCTCGTTTTTGGTAATCCCCACCATATTGGTGTATCACCATTGCCGACGTCATCAACTAAGTCGTCAGCGACGTCAGCTGTTTGCGCCAGTTTAGAATTTAAATTTATGATGAAAAATGTTATTTTATTTTGATCAAGCATAATAGGCAAATAGAAAGATGAAATCATAACCTCTGTGGTACAAACAGCCTACGTCAAGGCGAGAAACGACATGCTACCTACGTCACAAATGGTGATTTAGTGGGGTAGGGGGGCTTCGGATTTGTTGTACACAGGCCTTATGAGGGAGGATAGGCTATCCTGTAGTAGTAGTATGTATTATTCGTGGGTTCGTCCTACGCTCGGTCCTACAAGTGTGGTTCCGAAAAAAAAAAATTGCCTGCGGCGCTATTTTTTCTATAAATACATGAAACATTTGCTTCATAAAAATGTCCCGTTTTTTTATCAGAATAATATGGTAGCCTTATTTATGATATGTGTCTAAGAGGGCCTTCAAAGCACGCGCGACATATTTCACGCTTCAAATGCTCTTATACGCGCATATCATACGCTATATTTTCCATCAACAGCTGTTGTCGGAAGCTACGGAATGGTTCTCGATCCGGAGTTGTCTCGCTTCGAGGAGTTTGAGATAGCTTCGAGTACGTTCATAACCTCTTTTTCGAAAAAAAATGGAGGATTCGCTTCGTATCGGACGTTCGTAATCGGGCCCCAGAATTGCTTATCGGCCTCATTTTTCGTAATCGCCGCCATATTGGTGTCACCATTTCCGACGTTTTTTTTTTTTTATCTGATTCGTGATTGATTAAGTAAGGATGGGGTTATTCTATATGGGTATTAAAACATACAGTCGTGAGCCCAAAAAGTGGGACATCCGTTTTTTCCTACTGTAAAACGGGCTCACCAGCCATTTATAGTCCAACAAATACCATTTTAAAGTCACGTGATTTTTCTCTATCCTTGTTGAATACATCTCAAACAGCGGTGATAGTAAAATTGACAAAAAAATTGCTGTCTAACTATTGTTCATAATATTCTTACCTGAAATAGAATCCGTCACTGTCATCTATTAGTTATTTTCGAAAATAATACCTACAACGAACAAACACAGCTAATAATTTTGACTATATTAACCTTTTTCCAACTCGAAAAGAAGCAAATAGAGAACGGGTACCCAGTTTAAGTTCAGAATGTATTACAACAGACAGCAGAAGCGACAAAAGTGAGTCTCGCAACAATTGCGAGTATTAAAATTGCCCTCTGATTGGTCAATACTACTTCAGAAACGCGTTTGTAAAATGCTAGTGGGAACATATATTAAAATTCAATAGTAATTAACCACCAGTAGCTTTTTGTAGGTGATATCAACGACATAATCAATGGACAAACGTTTTTTCGGAGGCAAGGATAATACACACTACTAAGGATTGCTCATCGGCCTCGTTTTTGGTAATCGCCGCCATATTGGTGTGTCACCATTTCAGACGTCATAACTAAGTCGTCAGCTGTTTGCACTAGTTTAGAATTCAAGTTTATGATGAAAAATATTATTTAATTTTGATTATCATAATAGGCAAAGAGCAAGATGAAAACGAGATCTAAAAAATAATTGTTTTAGAATGTTAATTAATGTAGTAAAACCACGTATTTATAAAGCAGAAGCCCACGGTATCATAACCTGTAGTGCAAACAGCCTTCGTCAAGGCGAGAAAGGACATGCCGTCTACTTGAACAACTGGTGATTTGGCGTGGTAGGGGCTTCAGTTTTGTTCCACACATGTCTCATGAGGATTGGCTTCCTATAGTAGTAGTAGTGTGTATTATCCTTGCCGCGGAGGTTCGCTCTGAGTTGTATTCTATTCTATAGTTGTATTACTTGCAAGAGTTCAAAACACTCGAGCCGGTGTTAGTCGCGCCTGATTTGAAAGGAACAGATGCGTGTTGCAACAAATACTTTTCGAAAGGAATCAGCGCGTGACGCCCTGGAGCTGTTTCGGAGCTCGTCCTAGGTGTGAAAGGAATACAACTAATGAGAAACCGACCCTAGGGCAAATTTACAGATTCTGTAGTTTGCGCCAACCAAAGAAAATTACTAAGAGAAGACTACTACATTAGTTCTTTTCACGTGGCTCCGGTTTAACTAACCGGGTTACAAAACGGTTAGAGAATGACATACCGTTTTCTAAGGGCCAAATTATGGACCAACTGCTAAGTGTCTGGTTGTTACCTAGCAGGTACTTTTTATGCACTAGAGAATAGAAAGTACCTGCTAGGTAACAACCAGACACTTACCATTTGGTCCATAATTTGGCACTAACCCGGTTACAAAGTGACGTGTTGGATACCTACCACTCGAATTTGAGCGGTGTGTTGCGGTTTGTTAAACCGGAGCCACGTGAAAAGGGTTATTGTTATTGACTTTCGCCCTAACCTCAAATCTCAAATTCATCCTATCAGTGTCCAGTGACGAAGAAAATGTTTATTTTTCCCAATTTTCCAATCAACTTTCATATTTTTTCATCAAATTCTGCCGTATTGATCTCTTCCTGTACAAGCTAAAAGCAAGATAATTTTGAATTATTGTATTTACTACTGAGTATGGTTTACTTTTGTCCTTTTTGTGGCAACATCCTGTTTGTAGAAGAAAACGTGTCTGGACAGATGCAGTTCACATGCAATGTCTGTCCTATTTATTTCCCAGTGAAAAAGACCAAGTCTCATAGGAACTATTATAAATTGAAGGTAAATATGTAGTTAAGCTTATTAATAGAATAGATGGGTACCTAATTTTATTTATGTATCTCATGTGGTTCGTATGCTTCGATGTATGTATAATATAGCTATTGTTCTGTAGAATAATGTTTAACCACAGCTTTTTAACCATTCTAATGATCAGTGGTCTGAAACAAAGTTTAAAAAACATTATAATACCTACATATTCATAATATAACTGGAGATAGAGCTAATGTAAGTAAATGTGATAATCTAAAATATTGAAGGCAATGTTAATAAATCTAGGGTTCAATTGAGGGTTAAATTATCTTTCATTAACAATTTATTAATTCCTTTCAGGAAATCGACGATGTATTAGGAGGTGAAGAAGCCTGGAAAAACGTGGACTCAACTGAAGAAAGATGCCCCAAATGTAGTCATGATAAAGCTTACTTTTTACAATTACAAACAAGATCAGCAGACGAGCCTATGACAACTTTTTATCGGTGCTGCAACAACGAATGCAAACACAACTGGAGAGACTAATAAGTGTCAAATGTCTGTGACTGTAAACATTACTAAATATTTAAGACAATTACGCGGTCGTCCTATGGCAGACCATATCTCTATAAACAAATCGGATGCAGTTAAACATGCCATTGATTTGTTAAAATTTGGCAAAATTATTGCTGTACCCACAGACACTATTTACGGGCTTGCCTGTGATGCAACAAGTGCAAAAGCCATCAATAAACTTTTTAATATTAAATGTCGAGACAAAAACAAACCAGTTGCTATTTGCCTTAGTGAAATATCGGAGGTACAATTGTGGGCAAATACTAATAATATTCCACAGGGCCTGTTAAATAATCTCCTTCCTGGGCCAGTTACGTTAATTTTTAATAGCGTTAATAAATTAGACAGTTCTCTTTGTTCAAATGGAAAAATTGGAATAAGAATACCAGATTACAATTTTATTAGAGATGTAGCTAGAGGATTGACAAAACCTCTGGCATTAACTAGTGCAAACTTGAGTGGTGAAACAAGTGCATTGAACCCTTTAGAATTTAAGGAAATTTGGGATAAAGTATCAGCTATTTTTGACGGAGGTACTACAAACACAAATAGGAGTGGATCTACAATAATTGACTTGTCTGAACCTGGGATGTATTACATTTTAAGAGATGGTGTTAGTTATTTAGAAACGGTTGATATTCTGAAGAGGTTTGGATTGAAAGAAAAACTGAATAAACTATATTGAAATTAGTATTTATTGGTATTCATTCAATATTTCCATCTTGACAAATATTCATTATTTTAACTGTGTGGTCCTCATTGTTAAAGATGCATGTTAGAGTCAAATTTTTGATCCTCCACTTGTATGGTGCACCCCTCCATTTTTTTCTCAAATAGATTGATCTTGGATCTTCTTGTAAAACTTTGGATATAAGTCTACAACTTTCAGAAGCCGACTGAAAATATTTATACAATCATTGTGATATAAAGCTAGCATAAAGTTAAGTTTACCTCTGGTTCTATTTTACGGAGCTGCACTAGAGCCTCTTCTTCAAAAACTACTGATAGTTTAGTTACTGGTGCCTTTTCGATCCATGAAGGTACTTTTATATCCTTTGCGGATGGAACTGCACTAGCTTCAGTACCATTTTCTTCCCCATCTGGAGCGCCTCTTCCTCTAAAGTAGCAGAAAAACAAAACCAAGCAATTAATGCATTGAAATCTTTGAATTTGTGAACAATCTAATAGATAAAAACCGTAGATACTTACTCTAAATTTTCATCAGGCGTAGGTGTCTCAGTGACTTGAAATTCTAATGCTTCCTCATCTGAATCATTTATTGCTAAATTTTCATGTTCATCTATATTCCTCATATTTGGTTGATCATATTGTGGAATGTAAGGTTTGATATCAAGCACGGGAGTTTGATCGATCATATCAACGCCATTAAAATAAACAACATTATCAACAATTTTCTCAATTTTTACCAATGACAAACCTATAGGACAAGGTCGGTGTGGTGACCTTGTAGCAAACACTCCAGTTTTCGTCCCATCTAGTCTTGGTGGTGAAACCTTAGCTTTGGGGTGTGTGGAATTCTCATGAAAAACAAAAATGATCCACATGTGGGAAAACTGATTTAAATCTTGTAAAGAGTGACTGGGGTTTGTGAATATGTCTTTGTTGATTGTTAGCCTTGCTGTTGTGTCATTGATTGTGATTGTAGGTTGTCTTGGTGTGCCTCTTATGCGAGGGAATTCGGAATGTATTATTCCAATTGGCTTGAATGTAATTTCTTTGTCTTTGCAAGGTTTTGAACTGGAAGGTTCGGAGCTTAATTCACATTTATTATAGTCTCCAGATTGCCATTCTTCAAGGGTTTTGGTTATTTTATTGATGTCTTTGCCATGTATATGTTGTAATGATTTTAGTTGTGTTCTAGAAATAAAAAAGTATATTTTTTGAAGGTTAATCTCTGTGACAAATAATGATCTCTAAAGGAAAATTGAATTTGAAAATAATGCATGCCTGAGTGTTCGATATCGATATCACCAAACTACATAACTTTTTCTATTTTAACTTTGCATTGCACCACATATTATATTTATCGTCAAATTCCAATATTTTTTATAGTCAAGTTGACACGATGTGTGTGGTGAGCAGAAGAAGCCCTTCCACATTTTTCAACATTGATATATATCCTGTTCACAATCTGATGTCCACAGGTGCAGGTACATTTATCACCTTTCCCTATCAAATAGCATTGAAAGGTGATACATTTTACCGGTACCAGTGGACATCGGATTGTGAACGGATAATATATCCTGTTCACAATCAGGTGCAGGTAAATTTATCACCTTTCCCTATCAAATAGCATTGAAAGGTAATTTTACCTGTAGCTACCTGTGGACATCGGATTGTGAACGGATAATAATTGTTTGTTTGTTGATAGGTGGAAGGTTATTTCCTCCTCTCCCCGCACCTTTACAGGTAAAACAAAGGTGTAAATACAAAAAAAAACGAGTTTTAGCTGAACCTCGAGCTGAACTTTTGGAATCACGTTATGAGAAACAAAAATTGAATGTTGGAAATGTCAAATCTTTCATACTTTCAACTTTTTTCAAATGGAATGGCCTATATTTAGTTTCATATTCTTGAAGAGTGCAATTTTTTGATTCCAACCATTCTACCTGTAAAGGTAGCTGCAAGTGAAGTCTGAAATAGTAGGTTTTTTTTGATAGTATTTTGTGTTTTTACAATTTTCAGAGCCAAATATAATATTGGAGGCGGCTCCACCAAATATGTATTATAGTAGGCAAACTATACAGGGTGTATATTTTAAGTGATACCACTATTGCTATATCAGAAACGGTAAGAGCTAGAAGGTCGGTTTAATTGGGAGAAAGTTGCCTTTTTTGATGCCCATTCAAGACTCGTTTGCAGTGTTTCCATCCAAATTCCTTTTAGTTTATGAAATACAGGGTGATTTCTAAAAAGCGCCCAAAAATATTTCATCAATTATTTGGAAAATTATTGATTTTCGAGACACAATTTAAAGTTAAAAGTATGCAAAATAGAGTAGAGATGGTTCAGGACTTTGGAAATAAAACTCCCTTTTTTCAAAAAATTATGCCGACGTTTCGACCATATATTTGGTCTTCTTCACAGGCTACAAACAAAAAATGATCTTAAAATGTTTGGCAAGACACGAACAAGAAAAATTCTAAACCGAATAACACATTTTTTCCGGATATACATGGCGTAGGAAATGTGAATAAAATAGTACAAAATTAGTAAAAAACGTAATAAAAAAATTGTAAAAAAAACACATACAAAAAAAAAAACAAAAAACAACACAAACTGGGCAGTAATTATTAATTAATCAATCTGAAAGGAATTACATACCTATTTTTTACCAGCAAGGGCGTTTGATGTCAAATACCAATGTAGGAAACATTCCAAAACACAAAGGGACACACATTAGTCTAAATTATTTTTTAATTTTTGCTCTGTATATCGATAAACACATATAGGTTACAGTAAGTTGGCAAACACAGCCGCGACTAAATACAGTATCTTGGTGTATCGTCCACCTATGCATAGGAATGTCTCGGCCTCTTTTTTTTTTTTTTTTCCGCTTAAATATATAATTTCTTTAAACTTATTTTTATTATTATTTTTTTTTTCCTTCCTTCAAAAATTTAGCTTATACAAATTTAATAGATAATTATAACGAACATTTAAGCCTTGCACATCAGTTCTATTGTTCACTGTATTATTGAGAGTTATGTAAATCATTTCGCTAATACCCCTTTTAAAGTAGTTCGTCTCTCGGTCTAAGATTGATGTTTCTTGGAAGTTAAAATTATGACTGTTAGAAAAATGATGTTGGGCAAGGGTAGTTTTTTCGTTTTTATCAACATTATAATCCCTGCAATCATAACGATGTTGGTAAAGTCGTGTCTTTAAATATTGTTTAGTTGTGCCCACATAACATTTATTACAGTCAGCACAAGGAATTTTATATACTAAGTTTGAATTAAGTTCTGTAGGGATTTTATCTTTCAATTTCGAAAACAAATTTTTAGTTGTATTGACATTATAGAAAGCTAGCTTGCAGTTTGGGAGTTTCGTTTCGATCTTGTTTTTAATTTTATTGGAGAGGCCGTTAATGAAAGGAAATTTGAAATAGTTTTTAGTTGTTCTGTCCTCATTCGGTTTCGGATTGTTGATTTTATGTTTATACTGATTTAGTGATTTATTACCCTATTTACTAAACTGCGTGGATAGTTATTGTTGTGCAACACCTGCTTAAGCTTCGTCTCATTATCTTTCCTAAATTTTGGGCTGCTCAATTTAAACATTCTGAAAAATAAGTTGGTGATGGTGCTTATTTTATGACATGTGGCGTGGGATGACAAATAGTTTAATACCTGACCAGATGATGTTGGCTTTGTATACCAATTGGTCTTTAGCGTCCCGTCCACCTCCCTAATAACCATTGTATCAAGAAAGGCCAATTGACAGTTACTTTCTTTTTCAATTGTAAATTTCAATCTCTGGTGAAAATTATTAAAATAGGAAAGAAGCTCAGGCACTTTATTATTTTCACAGGATAAAATAGTATCATCCACATACAATTTAATAAATCCCAGTTTAAAGGGCAGTTGTTGGATTATCGTAGAAATTAGTTCATTCATAACTAGGTTAGCTAACACTGGGCTCGCCGGATTTCCCATTGCCGAACCGTCTAATTGTAGAAAAATCTCATTGTTAAAGGAAAAATAACTGGAACCAAAAACAAAATCCAACATTTCAGAAAAACACTGTTGAGAGATGGACGTATATGCGTAAATAATTTTAAATGTTTATATTCATTACATTCTGATGAACACCCTTACAAGAAAGATGTCGATTTTATAGCTAGAAAATTTCAAAAATCTGTCTTGAATGTAGAAATTAAAATAACAGTTTATCAACTAGGGAAACTGGAAGAGGAATTGGAAGAAATAAAAAACATAGCTCGCGTACACCTTTCAATAGACTTGTTTACTAATATCAGTAATTGTTGTAGATCTTATATATATATTATATTAAAGATCTTGAATATTGCATTAAATCCCAATCTGTGGATGAAGAAGAAAAGAATAATTTGCGGGCGGCATCGGTGAATATTATAACGAATTATATGCACTCACTAAAGAATACTAGGCCTAATATGCCTAATGTAGCCAGAGAGTTTGAGATATGTAAATCATTTTTGAAAGAACATCCCGAGATATTGGTTATGCGTTCTGATAAGGGTAACTCGACAGTGATAATGAATAAGGACGATTATATTATGGGGATTTACTCTTTGTTAGAGGATACCCAAATTTACAAAAAAATCAACTCGGATCCCACTGCAAAATATCAAAAACAGGCTAATGACCTTATAAGTAAAATGTTGGTAAACGGTTTTATTGAGGAAAACCAGGCAAAACGATTAAAAACTCATAATAGCGTCTCCCCTAAACTCTATGGCCTGAGAAAAACACATAAACCAAATTTAAGTCTTCGACCTGTCGTTAGTTGTATCAACTCTCCTTCTTACAATATAGCGGTTTATATTCATAACATTTTGAGCCAGGTTACGTCTACGTTTGAGTATAACGTTAAAAATTCGTTTGAGTTTGTGGAGTTTGCAAGAAGTATCCGGGTTCCTGCTGATCATGTCCTTGTATCACTTGATGTTGTGTCTTTGTTCACAAATATTCCCAAACGGTTAGTTTTGAACATAATAAGGGCAAAATGGCGGTTCATCAGCGCATATACGTCCATCTCTCAACAGTGTTTTTCTGAAATGTTGGATTTTGTTTTTGGTTCCAGTTATTTTTCCTTTAACAATGAGATTTTTCTACAATTAGACGGTTCGGCAATGGGAAATCCGGCGAGCCCAGTGTTAGCTAACCTAGTTATGAATGAACTAATTTCTACGATAATCCAACAACTGCCCTTTAAACTGGGATTTATTAAATTGTATGTGGATGATACTATTTTATCCTGTGAAAATAATAAAGTGCCTGAGCTTCTTTCCTATTTTAATAATTTTCACCAGAGATTGAAATTTACAATTGAAAAAGAAAGTATCTGTCAATTGGCCTTTCTTGATACAATGGTTATTAGGGAGGTGGACGGGACTCTAAAGACCAATTGGTATACTAAGCCAACATCATCTGGTCGGGTATTAAACTATTTGTCATCCCACGCCACATGTCATAAAATAAGCACCATCACCAACTTAGTTTTCAGAATGTTTAAATTGAGCAGCCCAGAATTTAGGAAAGATAATGAGACGAAGCTCAAGCAGGTCTTGCACAACAATAACTATCCACGCAGTTTAGTAAATAGGGTAATAAATCAGTATAAACATAAAATCAACAATCCGAAACCGAATGAGGACAGAACAACTAAAAACTATTTCAAATTTCCTTTCATTAACGGCCTCTCCAATAAAATTAAAAACAAGATCGAAACGAAACTCCCAAACTGCAAGCTAGCTTTCTATAATGTCAATACAACTAAAAATTTGTTTTCGAAATTGAAAGATAAAATCCCTACAGAACTTAATTCAAACTTAGTATATAAAATGCCTTGTGCTGACTGTAATAAATGTTATGTGGGCACAACTAAGCAATATTTAAAGACACGACTTTACCAACATCGTTATGATTGCAGGGATTATAATGTTGATAAAAACGAAAAAACTGCCCTTGCCCAACATCATTTTTCTAACAGTCATAATTTTAACTTCCAAGAAACATCAATCTTAGACCGAGAGACGAACTACTTTAAAAGGGGTATTAGCAAAATGGTTTACATAACTCTCAATAATACAGTGAACACTAGAACTGATGTGCAAGGCTTAAATGTTCGTTATAATTATCTATTAAATTTGTATAAGCTAAATTTTTCAAGGAAGGGGGAAAAAAATAAAAAAATAAAAATAAGTTTAAAGAAATTATATATTTAAGGGGAAAAAAAAAAAAAAAGAGGCCGAGACATTCCTATGCATAGGTGGACGATACACCAAGATACTGTATTTAGTCGCGGCTGTGTTTGCCAACTTACTGTAACCTATATGTGTTTATCGATATACAGAGCAAAAATTAAAAAATAATTTAGACTAATGTGTGTCCCTTTGTGTTTTGGAATGTTTCCTACATTGGTATTTGACGTCAAACGCCCTTGCTGGTAAAAAATAGGTATGTAATTCCTTTCAGATTGATTAATTAATAATTACTGCCCAGTTTGTGTTGTTTTTTGTTTTTTTTTTGTATGTGTTTTTTTTTACAATTTTTTTATTACGTTTTTTACTAATTTTGTACTATTTTATTCACATTTCCTACGCCATGTATATCCGGAAAAAATGTGTTATTCGGTTTAGAATTTTTCTCGTTCGTGTCTTGTCAAACATTTTAAGATCATTTTTTGTTTGTAGCCTGTGAAGAAGACCAAATATATGGTCGAAACGTCGGCATAATTTTTTGAAAAAAGGGAGTTTTATTTCCAAAGTCCTGAACCCATTATCTCTACTCTATTTTGCATACTTTTAACTTTAAATTGTGTTTCAAAAATCAATAATTTTCCAAATAATTGATGAAATATTTTTGGGCGTTTTTTAGAAATCATCCTGTATTTCATAAACTAAAAGGCATTTGGATGGAAACACTGCAAACGAGTCTTGAATGGGCATCAAAAAAGGCAACTTTCTCCCAATTAAACCGACCTTGTAGCTCTTACCGTTTCTGATATAGCAATAGTGGTATCACTTAAAATATACACCCTGTATAGTTTGCCTACTATAATACATATTTGGTGGAGCCGCCTCCAATATTATATTTGGCTCTGAAAATTGTAAAAACACAAAATACTATCAAAAAAACCTACTATTTCAGACTTCACTTGCAGCTACCTTTACAGGTAGAATGGTTGGAATCAAAAAATTGCACTCTTCAAGAATATGAAACTAAATATAGGCCATTCCATTTGAAAAAAGTTGAAAGTATGAAAGATTTGACATTTCCAACATTCAATTTTTGTTTCTCATAAAGTGATTCCAAAAGTTCAGCTCGAGGTTCAGCTAAAACTCGTTTTTTTTTTTGTATTTACACCTTTGTTTTACCTGTAAAGGTGTGGGGAGAGGAGGAAACAACCTTCCACCTATCAACAAACGAACAATTATGGTTGCGGATGCTCGTCCGATAATCGGAATGATAGTGTTTTTGTTTCTATTCCGATGATCGGGCTATTAGTTTCTTTTGTTATTATTCCGCAAAATAATTTAAGAATTTACCTATTACTTAACATATTATTGTCGGACTATCAGGATTTACTCATATTATTCCGAAAATTATTTATGGTTTGAACTAGGTTAAAGGTTCCCTTGGCCTTAATTTATGTTATATGGTGATACCTAGTCAGGTGATTTGTAAATATCAGTGCAAGTATTAAGAGAGTAGTATTAGAATTATTACTCGAATTATTACAACACTATATGGAATCAAAAAATCTGTAAGAACATGGGAAAAGTTTCAATTCTTATAATGAAGTAGAGTCTTACATAAAGACAGTTGAAAAGGAGTTACTAAATCCCTATATAAAAGAGATGCTAAAAAATTGCAAAAAGTTGTCCCAAAAATGCCAACAGGCTAAGGCAGAATTGGTATACCTACTATAGTCCGACAAATACCATTTTAAAGTCACGTGATACTGGTGGCAAAAAACGTATGTCCATTGATTATGTCGTTGATATCACCTACAAAAAGCTACTGGTGGTTAATTACTATTGAATTTTAATATATGTTCGCACTAGCATTTTACAAAAGCGTTTCTGAAGTAGTATTGACCAATCAGAGGGCAATTTTAATACTTGCAATTGTTGCGAGACTCATTTTTGTCACATCCGCTGTCTGTTGTAATACATTCTGAACTTAAACTGGGTACCCGTTTTCTATTTGCTTTTTTTCGAGTTGGAAAAAGGTTAATATGGTCAAAATTGTTAGCTGTGTTTGTTTGTTGTATTATTTTCGAAAATAACTTTGACAAACTAATTGATGACAGTGACGGATTCTATTTCAGGTAAGAATATTATGAACAATAATTAGACAGCAATTTTTTTGTCAATTTTACTATCACCGCTGTTTGAGGTGTATTCAACAAGGATAGAGAAAAATCACGTGACTTTAAAATGGTATTTGTTGGACTATACCTATTAGAACATACTTGCCATCAGGGTGGTAAAAGATTTTATTTGTCACTCATTTGTAAAACGTCACTTATCAAGTCATAACATAACCAGCGAAAATTATTTTTACAAGCTACTGGCTCTACTGACTTGTAAAATTGACAGCTAAACTGTAAAAACTTTTTACAAGTCAGTAGAATTATTTATTTTTGAAAAATCGGTTTTATCACAAGAATAATTGCTTGTAGGTACCTTCTGGGAGACTTTTCTGGTGATAAACTACGACTGAGGCTTCATTAATAATATCTTGTAATAAATTCATTTCTGGAAAAAAATTGCAAAATGGAAATCTGTCAAAAAACCTATTTATAACTAGAAACAACGTCTTAACAACGTATCATCCTCATAGTTATACCAACTACCAAAACTTCTGTGAGAAAAAATCAAGGAAAAACATATAAATTTCAAATTTTTGTTATGTATTGATTTTTTATTTGTCCCTATATCTTTTACAAATGAGTAACAAATAAATTATTGTACATTATACGCCAGGTAGCAGTTTTTACTGGCTAATAATGTAAAATACTATAAATCACTTAGCAAAGGCATGCGAAAAGCAAGGTCAGTACGGACCTTTCTCATGCAATGAACAAGAAGGATAGTTTATTAAGATATTTGCAATAAAGAAAGAGACACATATAATGACGCGCGATACCTGTGTGGAATGTCTTTGATTGGTTCCACTTGTCAAATTGTGCAATTTCGGTTATGTTTCTGTTTTTGTTTATTTTTAAACGTAAATATGATAAATATGTATTAACATTAATTAGAAAGAAAACCCACCGTTGGACAAAAATGTTTGAAGCAAACCTTTAATTGTACAATTATTATTGTATTTGATATAGAAATCGTTATTTTACGAACCCTCAAATCTCTGTCCCAATTTAAATCGTCTTCATTCAGGTTGAGAGCACGTAACTATTGTTTTCTTACAATTTGATTGCTTGGGAACTTGTGAAAAGAAAGGTTTGACTTCTTTTTCGCCTTATTCTGACAAGATCTCATACAACACATTTGAACCATTGTATCATACACAGTTTTTGTAATAATTTTCAGCAATTTGATTGATATTGATTGATTATTGAGGTTAGACCGTGTTCAGTAAATTGACGATTTAATTATCTGTCACCCACAAGCGGCGCGCGCAGCACAGGTAAAATGAGAAAGGTCCATTGTATTTTCGGAAGGTGTGAAACAAAAAATAGGGGCAAGCTGATTTTTTCAGGATTGTTCAAGAGGGCCGGGTGTTCTTAGTTTAAAAACACCGGATTCAGAAACTTTCCTCTTCCGCGCCCTTAGCTATAAGAGGTTGTTTCTCAACATTGTGCTACAATGGAATTTTTGGTCTCTAATTAGGCAAATAGGCAATCCAACAACCTGTCAAACTCCAACTACTGCGCCAACTACTTTTTACTTTTTTCTATAAACATAAAAATGTTTGGAATAATATGAGTAAATGCTATTAGTCCAAAAATAATAAGTGAACATGTTGCGGAACAATAACAAAATAAACTAGTAACCCGATAATCGTAATAGAAACAAAAACACTATTATTCCGATTATCGGACTAGCATCCAGTCCCTAACATTAACACCTTTCTTCTACCTGTAAAGATAAAGGCTATGGCAGTGGGTGGCAAAATATGAAGAAACACCCTGTACATAGAGTGCAGAAAGATTGTCAATTTCATAAAAGATTACCTGATATTGTGAAGTTCTTGCCGAGCTTTTATAAGCTCCTTTTGTAGTTTATTAACATCGTCTTCACTAGAATTCATGTCGTTACGATGATGATAAGTTAAATCATCTAATTATTCGATATGCAAACAGCTGTTGCGTTTTTTTCCAAAGAAGTTTCCGCTGTTATCCTTTGTTTTTTTTTCTAATTTTTCAAGAAAATAAGCTCACACTCACATAGAGAGCCGAGAGAAACGAGAAACTGAAAAAGTCGAAGTCGAAAACATCAACACACTTGAAAACGCTCAAAACAAAACAAAAAACAAAAAACAATTGCATTACTGTACTGTCAAATGTCAAACAAAAGTGTCCGAGGTAGGAAATACTCAAAAGTTCTTTTCACGTGGCTCCGGTTTAACTAACCGGGTTATAAAACGGTTAGAGAAATGACATACCGTTTTCTAACCCGGTTACAAAGTGACGTGATGGATACCTACCACTCGAATTTGAGCGGTATGTTGCGGTTTGTTAAACCGGAGCCACGTGAAAAGGGTTAAGGATAATACACACTACTAAAATGGTGCGTACGACAAGTCCAAACTAATGACACTTTTTACCCTGACCCGTCATTAATGTCGCACTTTTTACACCATTCGTACCATGCAGCATTCCATTTTCCGGTGTAGTTCAGATGGTTGCGTTCCAAAACATAATTTTTCGCGAGGATAATCAAGCATAATGATATGCCGGGTTATGTGATGTGTCAATTGTGCCATACTCCCCTAACTCCTCCTTCATCAATTCTGAGATACTCGAGGATCCAGAACACTTTGACTGAGTTCGGCTTTGCACTCCACGGAGCGCAACGGTATGAGCAATGAACATGGATATCCTGATGTCATACGCAGAGTGCGCCCTGAACATGGTCATAAGTCGAACGCAGATCGAAAAAGAATCCTTAAACCCTTGTCACAGTTGTCACAAAGATTGTGTTTTGATTTTAATTTTATTTTACTAGTAAACGTAAACAAGTAGGTAGGTAAATTAGAAATGGACCTGAAATAAAAATAGAAGAGAAATCTGGGAAAAAAAACCGGAAACGTAACCGAATATTAACTCACTAGCACAGACTGAATCGCAAGCATTCCATCAAGGTCTGCGGATGACGTCATAACTAAAAGCTGCTGGTAGTGACGTCACTCACAGGCCCACAATTTGATGGAGAGGGAGTTAGGGGAGTATGACACATTACCCGCGTGTGGCTAAATTCAGCTGGTGTAGGCACCGTGGTGGAATGGTAGAAAAGCAGTGTTGTTAAATTAAACAGGATTTGACAAGCTGTGGTTTGGCATTGGCATTAGTGAATTTCATTCATCGCATCCGTGGTGGTGCACCATTTTGGTGAATTTAGCCACACGCGGTATATAAACCAGCATAAATTATGCATGATTATCCTCGCGAAAAATTGCCTTGGTATAAGTTACACACGTGAGAACTGTCAACTTTTTCACCTTTTTGGTCTTGGAGCAATTTTCCGAACTCAGGGCTGAGTTCAGAAATTACGCACGGTGCGAAGCATTTTTGAACAGCTAGGGCGTCGCACCGGTGTCACACTCGTCATAACCGCCCAAAGTAGTTTTATAATACCCGCCCTTAATAGGCAAAGAGGAATATGCAAACGTACGCACCATAAGATTTTTTTTTTACAAATTACATGCCTGTCAAAATTTCGGAGCAAATCGATGAAAACGATGACAAAAACGAACACGGTTGAATATATGAATTGAATGACTTCGTTTTGAGAACCGACGAACGTTTTTGACGTCATTAATTTATTTCAGTCAATTTTCATTTGTTAAAGTAAGGCAAATGATGTCAAAAGTACAAACTCTCGTGAAACAAACAGTACCTAGCTGATATGAGCCGCTTTCCAGCTGACCATTTTGAGCACGCAATCGAGCTTTTGCGCGCGCAAATGCTTCAAGCGCGTGTTCGTGTTCCAGCAGTACTGCGCTTCGAGAGCTGCTAACTTTTGCGTTTCAAACACAGAACATTTTGTACTGCACCGTGCTTGGAGCATACAGCTGGAAAGCGCTGAAACTGTATAAAGTGCGTTTTTTTTTTTTAAAGATAAAAGTCAAACTGACATATGGTTGGCAATACAATGTAAAATTGTCAATGCTATCAAATTTTTCATGTAGAAAAGGCTTGTGTTGCCAACATAGTTACCAAGTTTTTGACTTGGGGAATTATCTATTATCTTTAAAAAAAAACAGATTTTATGTCAGGCACCATCACTCGTGATCCGAGTGCATTTTACCTGGCCCCTAGGGTACCTATTTTTTATTCCAGAAACTTCATCGTGCTTTTGGTCTCGCAAGCGTCGGCCAAGGATATTACACAAGGATTGCTCATCGGCCTCGATTTTTGGAATCAAGGTTATATGTTGGTGCACCGTCGCCAATGTCATCAACGGCGTCGTTTGCTGTTTGCGCCGGTCGTAGTTTAGAATATACATTCATGATGAAATAGTATATTAAAATACAAGTTGCAGAAGGCAACATATTCCCGTACGAATTCGAAATTTGGACACGAGCGACGAAGGAGCGAGTGGAGGAACGAATGAGTGCGAGAATAGCCTTCTGCAACGTGTGTTTTATACTATTTTCTCGATTTTGGTTTTACTTTTCATTTTTAAATTTTTTTTTGTGAACGCTGTTAGTTGAGGATTTTTTATTTTCAAAATATGTCAGTTGGCGACACTTACTTACCAACCAACTGACAGGTGGATTTTATCATTTAAGAAGATTTGACAATTTTGGAGGTACCAATAGGTATATTTTGGAAACTAAATGTCACCAAAAATCGTTGAAGAATGAGCTTCATTCTTCAACGATTTTGCGTGCGGGAATAATGACATTCCAACATCAAAATGGAGAAAATATTATTTAATTATGAAAGACATAATTTACATAATAGGCAAAGAAAAATATGCAAACGAGATCTGAAAAAAGGTTGTTTTTATGGCGTTTCCGATTGGTAGATCTAGTGCGGAACTAGTGCAATTTTTTCTTATATTTCTGTCTTATTTTTCTACATGTCTATTAAGGGGAAGCAAATATACTCAGTGCGCACTGAATCTACCAATCGGAAACGCGATTAGAATCTTATTCAATGTACTAAAGCAAACTATGCATGAAGCAGAAGCCAGCGGAATCATAGCCTGTGGTGTAAACACCTTACCATGGGTTAACCATGCCTATGTTCCGATATCAACTGTCAGTACTGAATTTACTGGACGCCGTTCCGATATTACACTGGATTCAGTCGATTCAGTACTGAATGACCACAAAAGTACGCTGTTGAAATAGGAACGGCAAATGACAGTAAAATCAGCACAGTAAATCCAGTACTGGCAGTTGATATCGGAACATAGCCCATAACTTCAGGGTAAGCATTGGAACTGGACACGTTTACTCTGGAGTTAAAACCAATCCGGGGGTGACTCGCTATTGAGAAACCGACCCAAAGTCTAGGCGAGAAACGTTACGCTGTCTACGTCATCACTGGTACTTTGGCGTGGTGGGGGGTTCGAGATTAGATCTACACAGGCGTTATGAGCATGGGCTATCCTGTGTAGTGGCTAGTGTCCTTGAGCGTCGGCAGTGTCACACTTGCTTCGAAACGGCTTTCCACGGCCCGTGATATCGCGAGCCGGGCCGCGGCAGCACGCGCATTTATTGAACTGATTCAATGTACAGTGATCTAATGAAAACAGAGTCTCCATCTATTTTCTGGTCGGCGCACCAAATACTAACCGTGCTGATGAGCTATGATACAACGAAACGCGTCCACAGATGGTCCTGCAGAGAGAAAACACTTCTCAATCGGTCCTTAATGCAGGATTTGTTGCGCCGACCAGAAAATAGATGGAGACTCTGTCTTCATTTGATCAGTTTCACATCAGATTGCAGTTTCTGGAAAGAAATCCAAAAATCCATTTGCGTATTTTTTTCCAGAATAAAAAAAATATTGTTTGTAACAAGAGTGCAGATTTGTGAAAAAACCTCGAGTTTTCGAGGCGTTATAGAAGCGTCGCCACGGAAGCTAAAGGAAAACACTTTCTGCTGTGGAATCCGTGAACCGGGAACTATAACATTTTTTAGATTATTCAGCTCCTAACTAAGGTCTTTGAACAAACTCCTTCTCTTCTTTCCCTTGAAAATTGTGAGACTTCCGAAGAGATTCAAAGATCGAGAAAAAAGTGGTGTTGATTTTAATTGTGAAGTACAGGAGTGACTGATGCGTTGGAGGAATTAGTGTTTGTGTAAGACACTGGAGATGGAAACGGTGTCGGTATTTTTTCATTATAACGATATAGAGGGTATACCATTTTTTAAAACGAAAGAGGCTAAATATCTTATGTCACTTTTATTTTCTTGATAATCGTTCGTTCGTACACGTAATTTGATTGTGTGTATTTGAAATATTTTCAGCACTTACTTAACCCTCTAGGGGGGTAAGACCAACCCTTACCATTCCAAATGGAACAAGGGGTCGAGAGATACCTGTTTTAAGAAAGCGTTCAATTTTCTTTCAAATTACATCAAATTAAAAAGAATTGAACGCTCTTTTGAAAGACGTATCACTCGACCAGTGATGCCAACTTTAGGGAATTGTCCCTAGTTCTAGGGATAAATATGGAAAAAAAATTGTCTAGGGATATAGGGAAATTCTAGGGGTTTTCTGATATTTTTTCTTACACAATTTAATTAATTGTGAAAAAATAAACATATAAAATAATATTATTATAAATTCTTCAAAAAATCGGAAGTCACCTTATTATTGGTTCGTCTGAGTAATTACATACAACACACACTTGGCCAATCATAAAACTGGTACGCTTTTTCTATTGTGTTGTATCGTGTAAATCGACCTTTTTTATTACCTCAACAATGACGAAAAGAGCCAAAAGTCATTGACATATTTGAACCAATCATAACATAAAAATATGTTGCATTCACTTCTGTTCAGCTTTGTCGTTGACAAAAACTGTCTGACCTTATTTTTTCAGAAGAGACTTTTTGTTGTTAAGCCTGTCTCACACTAGGCAAATTTAAAAAATATACATTGCCTGTACCAGTTTTATGTTTGGCCAAGTGTACAACAGTATCATTTTTGTATGTTGTAAAGTGCTCTTTGCCTTTTGTGTAAGGTGATGTGTGTGGGGATTCCCGCAACAATCGCGTCGAATCCGAATCAGGAAACAGTCTCTCGTCACTAGGCCTGTTTCTGCAGAAATCACAAACCAGTCAGAGCGAATTTCATTGGTTGAAAACAGTCAGAAACAGTCTGAAAACTAGTTTCAACCAATGAAATTCACTTTGACTGGTTTGTGATTTCTGCAGAAACAAACCTATTATCGCTACCAGTGACGTCATAACAATGCTTTATTGCTTTTGGAAATTTTGTGTTGTTTATTAAAAACTTGAGGATTAGTACGATTAGTTTTAAACATATGATTTTTTTTCTTGTAAATTAGAAGAATTACAATACATATTCAGGGGCGGATGGGCAACTTTGAATCGGCCCGGGACGATTTTTGCTCAAGCGGCCCCGCGCGGGCTCTCAGAAGGTGAATAACGCTGGACTCGCTGGAGGCAAAGATAGCCAAACATGTTTCCTTCGCAAAAAATTGTCTAAAAATAGGATATTGAAT